CCTAGTATAAAAGTTAACTCAAGGTAATTAAAAAAAAATTTAAAAAAAACAAAATAAAATTTAATTAAAAAAAGTCAAGAAATTATACAAGGGAATAAAAAAAATGAAATCTGAGAAAGAAATGGAAAAAAAAAGAACAAACAAAAGAATAGAAAAAGGAATTAATTACAGGAAATGAGAAAAAATGAAAAAAATTACAAGAAACAAACTAGGGGGTATACATGGGTCGTGGGACCCACTGTAAGAACGAATGTCTTCAAAGATAAGATAAGTGCCAAAAAATAATTAAACATGAGATGTGTGTCGGAAAACATCATAAAATAAGGAACCGCAACTTCTTAGGTAACAAGTTTATGCGAGACCCATAGGAATAACGAAGCTCTATTAGAATAAGTACTGCATTCATGTAGTTCAGTAAAACAAACACTTGAATAACGATTGAACGAAAATAAAAAAAATTAAAAAAATAGTTTAGTACTCACGATGGTGAAACTATCTTAGAACGTCGTACATAAAAACAGTACTCACAAATTTTAACCATCGTGAGGTAGGATTTGATTTTTTTTTAAATTTTTTTACTAAATTTTTTTTTCTCATTTTTTTTCTTATTCAATTTTTCTACTGCAAGATTAACAAAGAAGTGTATTAACACTGGATTAACTAGATTTTCTATTATTTTTTTATTATGTCCAATTATTGTTTGCAAGATTCACTCAGATTTAAGTTCTTTTTGTTATTTGTAGTGTTTTAAAATGTTTTTAATTTTTTGGGCTAGTTTTCTAGTCTATGTTATAATGAAATTATTACGTTTCCTGACACGGAAGGAAAACACGTATTTTATAACTATTGCGTATTTAATTTTATTGACTATGTTCTCAAGTAAGATTGTAACCAATATTATTTATTTCTTCTTACTGGTTTTGTAGTGCTTTATTATTATTTTCAGGGTTTAAATGTATTCAAATGAGTCGATAGATGTTACTGTAGAAGTCAGACATTCATGAGAATATAAATGGATAAAACTATTGTGTATAGAAGCATCTGTATGCGTAAATTTGTCAAAAAACTGTATCTAGTCAATTGTTAATTCCGTGTGTTAATTGTTTTTTGTTTTTTCGTTTTAATAAAAATTAAATACTCTTGTGTAATCTTGTAATGTGCCTAAGAAATATATTTAATTGTTTATCTGTACCAGTCTTACAGCAGATGACGTCGTCTACATAACGATACCAAAATATTAAATCATTTATTACTCATCTATGTCTCATAAGAACTTTTTTTAAATAGTTCATAAAAGTTTTGGCTGGAGTATTATTGGCACAGTGTCTGGTAGGTTGCTCATTACACCACCTCCACTGTTGAGGGAGTGTTACGGTCTGAAACATGTGGAGCTAGCTGTAAGAGGTGCTAGTATGATTTGTTTCTCAGATCATTATGCTAATGAGAGTAAAGGGATTGTTATGTAAATTAAAAAGACTGCTGGTGCACAGTTGGCAAACCAGGAATCGTTAACCAACGGTAGGTGATCGATCAAGGGTTGTTAGTAGGGATTGTTTTAAAGATGTGAAGCAGGGAGGAAAAGCTTAATTAGTCAGTAGTAGATTTCAGTTGCTTTTAGTGAGCAGATTTGGATTTTTCTTGCCTAAGGCGATCGAAAGGACTTGTGTACATTGTTGAAAAAATTGTTGTCTGGCTTTGGCTATTTCCTATGGGCCTTGCTGATCGAAAAAAAGATCACTGAGTTTTGTCTAACTGAGTGTGATCAGATGGTGGCAAGGGTTACGAGTACGGAACGTATGTTTATGCAGTACCTGTAGTGAGCGCAAAGTTTGTTAGACAGTGAGATCAACGCATTTTTATACCCATTCCTCCCAGCTAGGGGCTTTCTTGAGCTCAGTATTAGTGGCTACGTAGCACATGGCTTGCAATAGCTGCAGTCGCTAGGTGCACTCCATGCCCTCTCTAAGTTATCCTTGCAGTGGCTGCAAGGTTTGACGGTAGGGGCTTCTCGGGATCATTGTACTGGCTCTTTGGTAGCATTATAGTGTCTTGTGAAAGGTGAGCCAGTATTATTATAAAATAAATAAGTAACAGCTTTGTGGAAGAACTTAGGCTACTGTGGCAGGGGATAGTGGTCGTACTAAAAAAGCTGGAGTGGCATAGCTGTCTATAGCATTGTGCTCAGGATAGTTTTGTACTTGTGCCTTGCTGGCTAGGTATATTTTTACAAAAATCGGTTTACAATTGCCTTTTACTATCCACCAAAAATTATCTTAGGGAATCTTTGAAAGAGATAGTTTTACACTTCTAACTGTTTACATTTACACTTTTAATACACAATTTATTACAAGGCTTAAGGAGCCATATACGATTGGTCCATTCAAAGAGTCACGCTTTACTTTGTAAATGCAGCGAGTAACTAGATTAAATGGCACTTTACTAAGCAGTGTTAGCAGCTTCGCTTAAAAATATGACCTACTTGCAGAACATGGAGAATATTAATTTTTGATGTCTAAATTTATAACACAACTGTAGTTAGAGACATTGATATCTTAGTTGAAAAGCTCTTGACTTGAGCGTTTTAGAATGCACATTTCATACAAAAACCTTAGCACCTGTTTACTAATATCCTATATTAGAGCTGTAAATAAATTTTTAATGCGTAGAATGGAGACAGCCAGTGTAAGACATTCCCATTCATTGTATTTTTTCATGGTTTGTGAACAGTCTGCTATAGAAAATTATAGCTTGGTCAACAAGGCAATATCTCTTTTTTAAGGTTATTTCCATAAGCTACCACAATACTTTATAGAATCCTTATTAAAAACTAAGGATAACGTATACAGGAAAGTTTCAATTAAAAGGCCTTTGTTTCTTTGATGTAACAAATTATTTTAAAAAATTTGGTCAAGATTGATAGTGTAGTAGGTTTGTATTTGTCATTGACTTTTACAATACACAAACGTAAAATTTTTTTTATTTATTAAAAGCAACACAAATTACCTAACGTTTACTTAAAACTTCACACAATGAAAACTAGAAATAAAAATTTTAATAAATCATGTAAACACATATTCAGGTTATCATTTATTTGTTTCAATTTACCCAATAACCTTTTAATTTTTTTTAAAAGATTACCTCTGAGGATAAATTTTATATCATGCATTAAGTAGTTAATAATTTATTGGTGAAGATTTTTGGAAAAAATAAAGTATTAAAGTATTCTTCAAGTACGTTATTATTTATTCTTTCGTTGAAAACTTTTTTCTCATTCCAAATGCTTACAACCAAATACTATTACATGTTTTTTTCATAAAAAAATTTGTTTGAATAAAATTTGCTCGGCTTATTTATGTCGTCACATTTCAGAGAAACAGAAACCCCAAAAAAAGTATTAAAATATGTATATTTATATCGAACGATTCTAAAGCTCAACAATGAGTATTATAAACATTATTTTTATTTAGCACTTTTAATAAACTAACTTTTCAGGCAATAGGATCAAGATTGGAAGAATTTAATACTGAAGATAAAAAAAATTACTACCAAATAGAAACAATAATGCTAGAGGACAGCAAACGCCGAGGTTTAGTTGTAGAAGATGAAGAAGAAGATTTTTTGGATGAAAGTGAGTACATTTTGTTGTCTTAACAAACGATTGTTTATTTGTTAAATAATAGTGTTCTACACGATTGTTGACAAAAGCAACTTAAGTAACAATAAGCCTTGTGTGATAAATGAATTTGGCAACTTACATACAAATATCGTCTTATGTTACAAGACTGGTAAGTTATCTATTTTACAGAAATTATTTAATTATGCTTACTTTTTAGAAAGTTTTTAATATCTACATATTTGCAGTTTTTATTTAACAAAATTTTGACTTTCATTCTAGAAGTTTTAAATGTTAACTGGTAGAAAAATTTTATTTTTATATTTTTTTATAAACCTAGAACAAGTAATAAACAAAAGGAGTGCTGCAAAAGTTATACGAATTCATGTATCATTCGTTGTAAGAGAAAAAATATTTCAATTAGACAACAATGAATAAAAATTAATAAAAAGGTTGAACGATTAAAAACTTAAGTTAAATAGTAGCTTTTCTGAACCCACAAATCGAAAAAAAAGTTTTTGTATTTAAGTTGTACAGAATCTACCATAAAAATATTATCTCATAATTGTGAAAAATTCTTGTTATGCTTTGTACTATTTTAAAACTTTACAAAATTGAAAAAGTATTCTTATTAAGAAAATAGTAAGATGAGGCTGCTGAGTAAAGACTTGTTAAAGGTCCTCGATAAAACATGGTGCTTAATTGGTAATATAATTTTAAGCTGCTATGAGTAAAGAAGTGCCGAAAAAAAGTTACAAGAACCCTGTAATGCCACGATCAAAGTCAGGAGTGTTTTTAGTATCTTTACCATCTTAACAAGGCTTCTAAGAGGTACTCTGTGCCAAAGTTTAAAAACTCGTTCCAAATATATGTATGAATATAGTATACGGTAGAGTCCTACAATATTTTGTGCAAGCATTCTTTCTTATGTCTACATCAACACGCAACACCATCCAATGTTGCATTTATTTATACAGCCATGTACTCTTTTTAGACTTATAGGATAACGTTAGGCCAATCTTTTCCCACATTAGAAGACAGAGAAAACTTGATTGACGCATCTGGTTATATGTGTGCATGTGTGCTTGTATATTTACTTGTGTGCATGTTTGTAACTTATAATGAAGTATACAAGTACTCACCCTTCATTCAAACTATCAAAATCGTAAAGAGCCAGCCTGGCACATTTCTTATCAAAAACCAATATTCAACCAACATTGTACCCTTAAAAACTGTGTGTTAAATACTTAATATCTACATATTATAATTTTTACTCACTTTAAGCTATACTTTTGACAAACTAGAAATATTTTTAGTTATAAATTAGGCCCTCCATTCTTCTTTGAATGTCATAGTATGGAAATATTTTGTTATGATTAACTTTGACATTGTTTATCTTACAAAAGTAGCACGTGAAAGAGTTTTGGAATTTTCGATCACCATAGAAGCTTATAATCTAATAAGTGTAGGCTAGTAGATTACATTCTGATATCTGCACTAATCCCCATGCATTGAATTCCCTTTAGTTTTCTCTGACCATTTATAATTTAACCCACAAACTAATTTTCTTGACGAATAAATAGAATAAAAAACACTTTGGGAGAATTATTTGTATGAGATTAAGAGAATTTTAAAATAAACTGTGAAATAAGCCACACCATTTTATCAAAACGGACAGCTGGCTTGTTAACTGACATATTAATGGGAAACAAAAATAAAACGGTTTGATAAATGAGTTTGTATTTATACATTTAAGATTAGTTAATATCACGAATTTATTTTTCAATAGTCTTCAAAACAAATCAGTATACTGTGTCATGTATAATCAGTATAGCATGTCATGAATAAATAACATCCATGCAAACTTTTTTAGGCGCTCAAATCAGCAAAATTCACCAGACAAACAATGTTTAAAATGACTCTGATCAACCAAACAATTCTTTGAACGAACAACTCTTAGAACAAACAGAATTCAGTCTTTCAAGCCATGGCTCTACTTCCACATACAACGTTAGCCCTAGTTATGCAGTTCTATAAACCTTAAACTTTTTTGTAGCAAAGCCTGATGTTTTCAAGTAAAAATATTTATTATTAAAATAGTGTGTCTTAAGACGCTGAATATTTATAAATAGCAGCGATTGTGATTGAGGAGCTCATGTAAAAAAAATCTGAAAGAATTATTGTATAATTTAGGAAAACTCGTTTTAACGTATTATTTAACCGAAGGAACCTTGGTAATCCATACACTGAAAGACTTGTTCAGCCGTGTCGTCAGTATAACACTGCCAAAACGGCAGTGTTAGCCACAGCAATCACTGTATGGCGCCACCCTGCGGCTATTGCAGGAGAGTCATGCAGCTGTGATTGATACCACAGCCTAAGCCACAGTACTTACTCCTGTCCTACATGCAGTTTATACACATATATGTTCGGTACGTTTTATTCAAGGCTTTATGCGTATGCGTATATATTGTATTTACACACTTCAGTAGATTAAAGTGCATATGTATACAAAAGCATATTTGTATTAGCATGTATAAACAACCATGCATGCAATAACGTTTTGTTTATTATTTCTTATTATATTTGAAAAAGGATTGCTGAACGAAATAAAAAGGAATGGATGAGTGTTAAATAACTAATTGTATGAAAATTGTAGAAATTAAATCTTCATTAAAGGTAATAATAATTATAATGGATTACTGTTTCTACAGGGTTAAAATATTTGAAACATTGAAGAGCTTCATCAAGATGTTAAAACATACTTATTTTTTCCATACATTTTATGTATAAGTATCAACAATTTAATTTTTTATAAAATATGTAGCTACATAAGCGCGGGAGTAAGTACAGCCGTTTCGATGCTAGTATCGAATTAACGGATTAACTGTGTACGTAATGCCACAACTGCAGGACTTTTCTGCGATAACTGCAGGATGGCACCATACAGTGATCGCTGTGGCCAACACTGCCGCTTCGACAATACGGCTGTACAAGTTTTTCAGTGTGGAGAAAAATTCTATGAAAATTTACACATAGTTTGTTTTGAGTATTCTGACTACGGTGTTACATAAGTAGGCTGCAAGATATACTGTAGCGTGAAAGAATAGGCTAACACAAAGATCTTATTTGTTGTAAGTAACAAATTTCATATTAAATCAACTGTTAAATTTTTTTTCGTAAGAGAAGGATAGCTATAATGGATTTCTTTCAATACCAATGTTTCTGTTTAGAAAAGTGAGAGTTACGCAAACTTAAATGTATAAATGAGTAACCACGTATTTTTACTGTTAAAATTATTAACTCACTCAATTCAAACGTCTACTCTTGTCAGACAATGTATTTTTAGATAGTTCTCTGATTAGGTCGACAAAGTATAGCTTTTTATTTTATTTTATAGTGCTCTACGTCCAGCTCCTTTAATAAGGGCACTACTATGGGCAATTAGCACTTGGGAAAGGGACAAGGAAAGGGATAGGAGGCCTCCCATTACTGGGAAGGGGGTAGGGGGAAATTAGGCAATTTTTTTGCTACGAGAAGGTCGCCTAAACCCTCCTCGAGGAGCATTGCGTGATGAAAAAGCACATGTGAGAATCACAGAGGTACTTGCCCAAAAAGTCGCACTGGCCGGGAATCGAACCACGGTCTCCCGGGTGCCAATCCACGACCTAGCCGACCGAGCCACCGCGCGCTCTACAAAGTATAGCTAGATCGTAATATTCAAGAAATAATTATGATTGTTGCTTTATTAAAAAAAAAGTGAAGGGTTGAAACTTGTTTAAACATTAAAATGGTCAATGGAAACAGAATCGTGTGTGACGTAAACATTCTATCTTGAGGCAAAGATGCTAACTTGCTTTTTATTACAAACAGAAATCAAAATGCTACTTATCATAAGTATTGTCTTTTACTTGACATTTAATAAATTTTCTCAGCCGTACAACTAAACAATCTATCTCTGATAGAAATGTGCAATAGATTTGATAGGTAACGTTTAATAAAAATAATAAGCTAAAAAGTGGACCATAATGATGATTCGAAAAGTGTTTAGTGTGTATATCTCGTTTCAGCCCTAAGAGTAGTAAATTGAGAAAAGCTTCAAAAATATTTATATCCATTTAACTTAAACAATACTACCTTAGGCAATCTGAACAATGCTTAATACAGTTCAAAAATAAGTTGTAATGTAGCAAACCATTAATTTTAATAGGAAAAGACGGTAAGAAGCTAAAGGTGTTATCCGTACTAAGTTGCAACCACTACTAATAAAAGCTTATGCTTTATCGTTCAAGTGATATCTTTGACATTTAAAAGAATAAAAAAAATTATATCACTAAAATAAGAACCATATGCGTACAAAAGCTTAAAGAAAATAATATTGATAGCCAAAATTTTTTAAGAACGACAGTTATTGATATTAACCATGTTACCATGGTAAGGCAGGACAAATCTGATAAATAAACAGTTAAATTCAGACTTTTGCTGACTAATAAATTCAAACAGCAAGGATACACAATTTACAAATAAGATCCACTAATAGATTTAAATAAGCTCAACACGCTCAAGGCTATGTTCGAACACTTAACCACTTAAAATGAAGATTAACCTAACCTAGAGAAAATAAATCGCAAAATTACTACTTAAAGTGAGAAAACTAAAACAAACCCTAGTAAAGAAGGTTCACTAAAACATCGTACAAATATGACTTTTAACAGAGTTACTCAGAATAATACTGTAACTTATACTATAAAGCGTTTTACTGTCAGGTAACTAACTGTTCATTTGCCTGTAGATTGCCATAGAGGATATCTTCAGAAAACAAAATTTATTGTTACAATACGTAATAATAGTCTGTTGTGGTTATCTAGTAAGTCACTTTTTTTAAGGGTTTCAGTTCTGCAGAGGCAGAGTGTGGTACTGCTATCCAGAAAAGTGAAATATAACTAAGCTTTGGACAGTATATCGATAGTATATGAATAATTACAATAACATTGAATGATGGAACTGTCAAATTT